TTTCGTCTTTTGAGAGCGGCCGACTTTTCACGGAGTGCCAGATCTATATAGAGCCTCGTAAATCAACGCTTGTGCTGGCTGCTTACTCGCAAGCCCGGGCGGCCCGGTTCAACGGCGTAAAACAGTTTAACTATCGTTCCCAAAACAGTGTTTATTGAGCCGATGTGGTGTGGTCAGGTATAGACATGATGATTGCCAACCGGGCAAATTTGAGTAACACCCATGTAATGCAGCGGCTCCCTTGAACAATTTTAACTGGGTGTAAAATGGTGTAGATAGATGACACCCAGCAAGCGAAAGGATGTCCGTACAGTCCGGTGAACCGTTGGGTGGCGCTAGACTGGGTAATGTCGTAGCCCGAGATTCGTACGGACATAATTGTGAGAAACACACAGGATTTTTTTCTCACATCACACACACAAAAATAATGTAGTACCATGCAGTCCGCGAGTCGTTAAGCCTCGACATTGTTTTATGCATGTTTATTAAAACACTTCAAAAACGTTTCATAAAAATGAATGCCCTAAGAGAGTTAGTTTAAAGTGTTACATATATGAGTCTAGATAGACCCAATTAATGCAACAACAAAAAAGAGTAGAAAATGACAGAGTTCTCACTAATCTGTCGAGGTGGGGGGGGGGGGGGGGGGTTCGGGGCCATGCATAAATTTAATCTAGCCATTTTTTGAAAATCAACTCTGTGATGCGCATGTATAAATAATCCTAAATCAAATTTCATGAGCCGATAATTGTTTTCTTTATCTCTCTCGTAAAGATCTTTCTTACGATTTGAGAATGAAAGAAACGTACAATGGAACACACAGAACCATTATCCCTGTTTAATTTTGGGGTATACCGGTAGAAATAGTTGTTTCATCAGATGGAGCTTACGTTTTAAGTTTTATAAAAATTCAAGGAGGATCTAAAGTAACAGATCAGGGAAAGGAGAGAAAACAAATCTCTGTTTATTGGACTTCGAAAAAATGAAGGAGCTTTTCAAGATGTATAGCGGCGCGGCGGCATTCCTCGCCCCGTGCTCAACCAGGAATCCCCGGCCAAGTACCCTGCCAAAGATCCGGTCCCTTGTCAGATAAGTGCTACTCCACTTTATACCTCCTGCTGCTAACTTAATTGATAGACAAACAAGGAACCTCTTCCGAACTGTTGTTTTTCTATTATTAACTTCCACTGTTCAAAACCAATTTCTCAATTGCGGCGTTTTGGGTATTGTTTGGAAATGGCATAGCGGAAACATCAGGGGGTGCTTCGATTCGACGGGTTATACTGGATTGGTCAGATGTCTCGCAAGATTGTGTTATGCTTCGACCATGGAGTTACACTTTAGGCGGTGTATTGCGTCCTACCTATGATAATTGAAGCCTGCTGGTATTTCAAGGGCGCCCTCGTTTAGAAAATAGAGAAACCCCTCCCACACAAACTTAAAGGAGTGCTTAATAAGAACAAAATCTCCCGGTTGAGGTTGAGAGATTATGTCAGTAGGACACACTCTTCTCCACCCCGTCCAGCCTCAGCAATGATCGTCATCCCCCAACCCCTACCTTCCGCGCGCACACATCCTCATATAATAATGATACCTCCCTGTCAATCGTTATGGGGGAAAATATGACAAGGTGAAAATGAAGACAATCCGATGAGGTGCTACAAAAACAACAGATGAACCGAGCGGACGCGAGAGGCATAGCCGATGGGGAAATGTGTTCGATCTGACGGATACCCAACACTCGTGGAGACGCGGTCATTGTCAAGTCTTGACGTAACAATTGTGTAGGCGAGAGAGTGCGCTGGAAACAGAGAATGCGAGCGGGCTTCTGAGAAGTTGGCGACCGGTCAGGGAGAGGAAGGGACGGGGGAACTATAATCCGGCCATCGGGGTCTCGTAGGAATGTCGTTGAAAACGTGGTTAATTTGGTGTATAATTGAAAAGGGGAAGGGGAAAGAGAAAGTGTCTTGACATTCAATACGTACCAGACAGACTTCACCACACTGTGGTTGAAAAAGGTAACTTAATCGCTTTCCTTTCCCTTTTCAGTATTTTCCCGAATTTCTTTATTCCATTGGGCGGGGGACACCCCTTCGGCCCCCTCCTTCGTTTTATGGCCACACCTCTGATTCTTCTACCAACCCGCGATAATCATGATACACTTTCTCAACATGCGCGATGAGATGAGACTAAGATAAATAGTTTTTATACATCATTAATTAATTATTTTCTATAATAACAAATGATCTGGCTGATCATTCTGTGGTGGCCAGTCTTAACTAGTTTTTAATTCATGGATTCGGGAGTTTCTTTTTCTGCTTCCTTTCTGTCTTTGGTTTCATAATTACACCGGATTTTAAAGTTATCATACCTGAGCTGCCCACGTGGTGGCGCGCGATCAATTTACAACCGACGTACAAAATGTGCCACGCAAAACCTCAAATACGAAAAACTTCATAAATATTATTTCATTTGCAGGACAATGATGCTTAACTTTCCTGTTTATATTATAATAACATTTTGGTCTCATGTGGAATCCCCAAGTTCTAGATTATTTATGTCTTATACAGTCATATTCAATTAATTCGAAGTATCGAACATTTTGGACAGTCCCTAACAAGGCATGACATATTGGCAACGGAACACGACGACTGCTCCATGACACGAGGATTAACAGAAATGAAATAGTTACTGACTGCGATTCAAGCTGTCGGTCAAAGTTAAGGGCTAAATGATCAAATGATACAATAATATCGCTAGGTTCTCTGTGCCACGAGAGAGATGTAGGGGGGGGGGGGGCTTCAAGATGTTATTAAGCTTGTTCTTTAGGGATTACAATTTAAAGGGGGATATATGAGAAATTGATATAAACAGACTATTTAATTTGATTTACTTCCAGACATCACAATTACATTAATGAACAATTAAAATTACAGAATACAGATATCAGGTGATGAATGCTATAGGCTGGCAGAAAGCCAAACTTGTGCCGTACGTGGCCAGCCACCCGTGAATAAACAATGAAGTTTAAATCTAACAAAAGTGAAACTTAAATAAATAGTTACAAAACTTAAATAGTTGGGAATGATTAATACAGACCAGTAGTAACAATATAAGGCGTCTGCAATGCACTGTTAATGTTGTTCAGGCAACGTCTTTTTTTTTTAGGAATAAGGGTAGGGTCATCTTTAAAACTAATGCCTCCCGACAGAAGACATATATTAAAAAATGATACCCCTTTATTATTTTATGTATCAATTACAAAACCAATTAATTTTCGTTGCTTTTTTTCTTCACAAATGGACAGCTCCGTTTCTTTTTGTGAGGGGAAGAGGTACGGAGGTACACTTGGACTGATTATGAGGTACGTACACTTTATACGCAGGTACACTTTGACTGACTATGAGGTACGGAGGTACACTTGGACTGATTATGAGGTACGTAGGTACACTTTGACTGACTATGGGGTACGGAGGTACACTTTGACTGACTATTTACAATACAATTTTGTCCACAGGCACCACGAAAAGACAAACTTCCTCCCACAGAATAGTCACCGATCGTACCCTTCAGAAAAAAAGTGCAGCCGACACAAGGGCAGACCACACAGCGAGTGGTAGGGAAGCGATGAAGGGTACGATATTGTACCTGCTGTAATCTTGACAAATGGAGGGATGGACCTCAGTCGCTAACCCCCAGGCATATGATTGTCTGCACCACACGGGCAACAGGGTGTTGGGGGGGGGGGGGGGGGGGGGCTAGGCTAACACCAGACGCGGGGAAGACGGGAATTTATGGAGCAAAGGGGTTGAATTTATTGGCCAGTTGTTTAGAAGGGGGAATGTCACACCTGAGGTGATGACAGTCGAGGGGGCCAACAGTCTACCCCCGGGCAGGTGTGAGTGAGGAAGTGGACATTTAAAGCAGTGTTCTCACTGCTTTAAAAAAAAAAATGCTTTATTGTACAACTTTATTGCTTTAAATATATTATAACAACCAGATTAATTTCTGAGAATTCTTGAATAAAAACGGAACAGGGGAAAAAATATGTCAACCAACCGTTAAAATTGGAAAAGCCATGAGAAAATGCATAAGCCATTCAGGAACACCAACTTGCAACTTGAAGTGGAGTGGTTTTTCTGAAATGCTCACTAGGAACTACAGGGGGCGCACTTCAAGAATTTGGGCTGGGTGCACTGTGGATGCATGAGCAAAACTTGCGGTTTTAAACCTGAAAGACCCACAAGGAAAGAATGGAGCGGTTTGGATCGGATTGGGGAGGGGGAGGGGAGTATTGAAAGTAAAGGAGCGCTTGTGCGAAAACAAAATGGATGGATGATAATCATAAAAATCTGTATTCGCAGGCCAAAGTTTATTTGAATGTAAGCACGGTGAGCTCAGTCAGAGATAAGAGTAGTGAATCCGTCTGCATCGTCACTCATTTCAGTATAAGAGTAGTGAATCCGTCTGCATCGTCACTCATTTCAGTACCTACTGTATTCACAAGCGTGAATCCTTTGCAGTGGCAGAACCAGCTTTGGATCACTCGGGGGGGGGGAGCTGAGAAACCAAGAGGGGGTTCAGCTATATTATGCGGTCATAGGGGGGGGGGGGGGAATCAGATTCCCGGTGGATCCGCCCCTGCTAACGTAAATCCATCTCACCGTATTCTCGATTTCGTTCTTTTCTAATGACTTTTTCATATAGGGGAGGGGGGGAGCTGACAGCTCTCTTGCATCTTACCAATGTCAATAAACTATTACAACTTTCTATCCAAAACAAACAGTATAGTACGGCAGGAGCAGGGCTTGAGGCCTTTGGTCTCTGTAGCTGTCGACCCCCCCCCCCCCCGACATCAAAACTCTTGGATTTATACTTCACAAACCCCTATGAAAATTCCTGGATCCGCTGCTGAGTTTCCCTCTAAAATCGGACAGGTAATTGATTAAAGAAAACAAAATGAAAGTGTAGAACGAAATCCAAACAGACCGAGTCAAGTGTATGCTTCAAAAGAAAAAACGGAAGAAAAACTAAATAATTTATTCACTTCGATTGCACTGAGTTCTATCTTTTACACTAGTTACGAATCAGGAATCATGTTTCTGTTTTCAACGAGGAAACTGCTTTTAGTTCAAAATGTTTTCTGTCCCTCATTTTCCTCCCGAAATGACTACCAGCTTCAAATGAAATTCAAAAAAATCGTTGAAAACTAAAACTGATGCTCATAAAGTGAAAAACAGCTATGATTGCCCCAAATACTTGACAAATAGGCTGTATTAATATAACGAAAAACCTCAACCATTTAATTACAACCTGTAGAATAATGTTTAATTTATTTACTCAGTATTTATTTATTTTTTATTTAGGAAGGTACTGTGCACAAGAAGTAGCAATGCTCCCCAATCAATGCAGCCATAGTTATTCCAATTTGTTTAATTAATAAATCATATTCCACTGACAAAAGCTGATTTTAATCATTCCACTGGATAAAATTGAACCAAAACTATAAAAGGCCTAATATACATACTATTTTCAGTAAAAAAATATACATTCACTGACACTGTTAACATGAACACAAGAAAAATAGGTTTTCATCTACATACATTATGTATCAGTTACTAACAACAGAAAGTATTTGTGACCCTAACCTACAAATACTGGTATTTTCAAAACTTTTCAAAATAGAAAAAAAGGAAGTAAATAATAGAAATGGAAAATATATGTATCTATGGTAAATTTGTATTAAGCACTAAACGAATGGTTGATAATAATAATAAAAATTATAATAATAAGAATACAACAGAAAATATAGTCACTTTTGGCTAAATTTGAATACAAACAATTCTACAGCCACACTGTCCGTAGTACACATTCGCTCACTCTCTAAATCGTTTTAAATAGGACACTCAAACAGCATCTCAGTTTAAGTCTTGAGTTGTTCATTATGAAGAGGTGTTGAACCAAATCGCTGCCATTGAGACAAAACAAAGTGCTGACCATTACAACCACTATTGTAATACTCCTGCTGTATTTAAATAGAGTTCTTCTTCTTCATTTGCAAGCAAACAAATTGTACGATACAAATGTTATTATTATTTTCATTAAAAATAATGTAATGATAGGTTAAAAACAAATTCTACGAGATTTTTTTTTAGTATGAAATGGGAATTCAAAAGAAATAAATTTTTGTTGTTGTTGTCAATTGAGTCGGCACAATCACAAAGAATGATTTCTTGCTTGTCTCTTGAAACCGGATAAGTTTGGTGTACAAATACAACTGGGTGGAATTTTAACCAGGTACTGCAGGCTGAAGTACATGTATGAATTACGTAAGTTGGTTTATTATGCGTTGAAAACTTCTACCTGATTGCCAGAAAAAAAAAAAACTGAAGGAATGCACAAAATGGAAGACTTGCATTAGTACATTTATGTTTTGCTCAAATACCCTGCAACCAAGTGATAAAAGGATTATTTTTCCAAAAATCATGAATAAATTGGGTAAAATACCCATATGAAACGTCATGCAACAAAATGAAACAAAATTGAAAAGAAAATCAAAATGTATCTTGGGCCAAGGGCACATTGGAATGTTTGATTTGAACTTAAGAATAGAACTTAATTACGATTAAAAAAAAACCAATCAATAAAACTATTCATTGGTGGAACCGATACAAAATAGATACAAAACCAAAACGTCAAATTGAAGAACATCTTCAGGTTTGAAATTTGTGTGTGTGCGTGCTTAAGCAATGTAGATAAATGCCAGTAATTTACCGGTAATATCATGAATAAATTAAGGCCACAGTTTTCTACACCAAACCCCCCCCCAATAAAACACATACGAAGATGAAAGCATGTCCAACTTCCAGAGTCTGTTTCTGTCGCAGTCAACATGGCTCATGGGACCATTTGATGGGACACAAGGTATAAGGTGTGTTTTCCATCTCTCAACTTTCAACTAATCAAACTTTGTTGGGTTACTTTATTTGCAAGGCACTCCTGGTTGTTCAGAACACTCACTCACACACTGTTTGGTTTGGTCTGTTTGATGGTTTGATACATCCTAAGGACTAGGCTGTGGGGTTCTTCTTCATCAATTCAATGTCTGATGTTACCATCTCAACCACTAGATCCTGCAGATTGAAGGTGGGGGGGGGGTGGTTTCAGAGAAAGAACGGGAAACAGAATGAACAAAACTTTGTCTTTCAAACTTTATTCTCCCAATGTACATGTATAGATGAAATTTTGGTAACGTATTTTCTAAATCACTGGAGAAAGGTTTGAAAAGTGATTTACTGCGCTGGTTGTTTGAATTGATGTTGTAAATGTGAACGAGTCAAAATCCCCCCTCAGAAGTGAGGTTGGGGTCTACGAACGAATACTTACCTGTAGAGCATTGGTAAATGGCTCTACAGGTAAGTCAAGTGACATACCGGTAAGACTATACAGTTTTTAAAAAAATCAGAAAATCAGAAATTATAAAAACTTTGACAACATTGAAGATGCATTCAATGTCCCTATATATGCTCAATTCAAAATTTTCGCTATTTCAAATTTGGCTGCCAGTTTCTTTACATCCATTTGTCCATCTTCAACCAATATTAATGAGCAATGTTACAATGTATGCCAGCAATAACACCAGAGATACGTGTATAATGACATCTGTTTGTCTACAATGGTGCTTTCTTATGGGAGCCATATGTACATTTTGGTGGGGAAGTGTCATCCACACATTGTTCCAATTCAAAAAACACACACGTGATTAAAGGCAGAGTACATCATTTGCAGCTATCCAAAAAAAAAATCTGACTAAATTTGTGTTTAAAAGCATACCCGGTACTTGGTTTAAAGATACATTGTAGTAATGGGACTAAATTCCCTGTGCCATGAAATTATTCTTTCTGGCATGCTTCCATTTTAACGAAAACAATAAACTAAGGTTATTTCCAAAGATACGTCTCAAGACATACTTTTGGAAATTTCCGTTAGTAGTTCATTTTTAATTCGGTGAAGCAGTGAATGAGTGGGCGCAAGCGTTGACACGACGCTAAATAATTTGTCAGTTCAAAGCGTGACATCGCATAGCTGCAATCAACTGAATGAGAACGTGTCCCGGACACTGATTTCGGGCGCAATTCAAATCATGACTTGGCAACGTTTGAATTGAAATCGAGATCCTAGAATATTGTTTTCTCTGAATTTACAGCATTCACTGAGCTGAAACTTCATCAGGTTAGTTGTTACGTACCCTTCTTGATTTTGAGCGTGTTTGTTCCTTTAAACGAAAACAATGACAAATGATGTATTCTACCTTTAAACACATCCCTGTTTGCCTTACTAGTGTGGACATTCCTTTGTATTCGTGTAGTTATAAAGAAAAACTGGGGAAAAATATTTTTACCCGCACTGTGAGCACTCATTCAACCCAAATTTTGTAGCATGATTTCCTTGAGTGTTCCATTCATTCTGCAACTGATAACCATAAACCAAAACTGCCTCTTAAAAGTTTTTTTTTCACAGAGGGGAAAACCCTGTGTGGACGTGGGCAAGTTCACACAACGTCTTCACTACCTGCACTATGTTGATATATTTTGTTCACAGTTCCACACAGTGACTGCACTGCCTGTCCAGCATAATGCCATTACGTCAGGTTGCATCACTCACATGTCTTGTGAATAATTCATTTTTCCAAAGCTGAACATTTCCCTTTGAATGAAAAATTGTCCAACACCATGCCCTCACAGTGTCTTCATGCACTTCTCCTGAGTTAGTCAAAAAATGCCCTCAGAATATAAAGTTCTCACTGATAATCCCACCTTGAAAAGGATCTTGGGTTCCCATCCCATCATCGTCTTGGCCTTACTCGGATCACCTTGTAGATAATCCTACCAAAACAAATTAAACATAAAAACATAAAAATAGGAAATTAACAGATTTGATTGAATTGATATTTGGGACTGACAGCTTGCATATAAAGATGAAATGCACAAAATGAATCCATACAGGTACTGAACACGATGTATGCTTTGTTTGCAATAATGACACGAGGGAGAGAGGAAAAAACAAAAACAGTTTGTCATTTTTTAAAGTTACGGGCCAGCTGCAAGTTTTCAACCTGCGCCCAGGGCTTTATGCTCCCCTGATGTTCTACACTAATTTCACTTTGTTCCCAGCCTCCAGCTAAACAAAAACCCTCCTTGCTGTCCAAAAAACTTGGGGCTTTGACCTCCGAAGAACGGGGTCCCGGACGGTATCCCGCTAGGCAGAATACCAGCCCCTAGCTTGGACCCTACGTCAGAGTCTCCCCGATTATCCATCTTCAATTCCGTCCGGCCCGCGAAAAAATCACTCTCGTTTAAGTTCTCGGGGTCACTGACGCGGCAAACAAGTGCTCCAATCTGTCTTCTTCAGCTTCTGTCAATTTTATTTTTCTGTTTTACTTCTTCCCTTTTGTGTTTTCTCCTCTTATCTGCTATGTCTCAAATCGGTCTCTCACGGCAGGGTAGCGGGACCAACCGTGGATCCAATACCTGCCCTGATTTCTCTTCCTCTTGAAGGTAGTTTCAGTGTCTCTCGTCAGGACAGCGGCACCGACACTGAGTAGGGGGAGGGAAGGAGGAAGGCTGATGACGACAGCTCCAAGCACGCCAAGTGTATCAAGGAATTGAGGTAATTGGTGGCTTATATGACCAATCACTTAGGCAATTTGGAGGGAGTGGGCACCCTGTTGCCATAGGGGAAACTCAAGCTGGGGGGTGGCTTGCTAGAGCTTGCTGGGCTGGGAATTGCAAAGCGTGACATTATGCATTAACAGAGGAATTTGCAACTCAACTGGAAAGGACTGTGACACACGGAGCACCATACAGTCACACCGTATCGTTTTTACATGTAACCTCCTTTCACTTTGAAGACAATTTACTACCGGTAGTTAAATTTCTTTGATCAGGCAAAATGGGCTTAACTCTGACATGAATATCAGTAGACTTCAAAACATACGAGTGATGCGACAAATGAATCGCCCACAAGATAGTTCAACAAAAAAGTCATTCGTCATGAGTAAACGTAATGTCATGCACAACATGCAGGTTAAAAAGACAAATTAAAGTATGACACCTAAGAATATCTAATAGAAAAAAAGATGAAACATTTTATTTTCCTGAACTAACAAATCTATAACAAATTAACAGAATAATCGGATGTTGGCTGCCAAACACGTACATAGACATGGGCATTATTTATCAGCCGTACATGTAATGCAAGACAATCTGCTGAAATGGCAGAATCGAACGTATTCAACATATAAAATAATTATTCCAAAACCATAATTTGGAAATGTCTAAATTGGCAGAAACCTCTGCAACTCCGCTCTGTTGCAAGTCCCCCTGTACTGCTCGAGAAGTACCGGTCACACACTGCACGGAAAAAAATTCACTGATCTAACTTTAACCAACCAAATCTTATTACATGTACATGTATTAAGTCTATCTCAAAACATCAGATCTGATTTTTTGTGTGTGTTCCGTCAGTTTCAGCAACCGTAACAGATAAACCCAATCTGACATGCAGAATGGACTGCTATTAGTGCGAAATGGCCAGGCCCAGCATGGGAGAAATAGGTAGTGTAGGGAAAGCTGATTGGTTCTGACAATTCTTGATGGGTGGCCCCCGCATCCCATGGAATGGTGCTCTCCGATAGTGAGTCTGGCACCCCGCCACTCCGGGCCTTATGATCATGGGAGATGTTCATGGGCAAATGTGAATGGCAGAACAGAGAGTGTACATGTACATGTGGAAATCAGAAATAAGCTGTTTTAAGGACATTATTTATATTGAAAGGTGAAGCCATTTTTGGAAGTTGAACATGATTTTCTAGACGTAAATTGATTAACAAGGCCATAACAGGTTTTTAGTTCTGATTGTTTCTGATCAAAAAAAAGAAAAAAGAGAAAAAAAAAAGACTTGCAATAATTTTTTGTTACAAAAATCTGGGTTCCTGTGGCTGATATAAGTATTTCGATCACACAAACACTGTACATGTATTTAAACCTGCAATGAGCGAATGGAGAAAATAAATGGCAAGAACACAACAGTTCTGACAAAACACGGCATTATAACATCAATGCAAAACACTTGGCCAATGACCTGGGCCAATCATATCACGATACAAAACGAGATACCCATATCTACTCTAAGGTCAACGTACTCTTGACCCTCAGGGGGCCAAAAAATCCCACAAAAACCGTGGTCCCTCCTGGCTAAATTAGTCACCTTATATCGGCCTCCCAAATGAAGGAAGACTGACAAGTGAGCGGCGCCGTGTTTTACATGTGGACGCTACGCTAATTAGTCCCTGACACAGCTGAAAAAGAAATATAAATGTCAAATGGCCCACTCCTTGCTACCATTCAATCTAAACTGACACTAATACAAAAACGACAACACAAAAACCAAAAAAGGAAAAAAAGTACCCCCCCCCCTTCTCTTTACTCTTTTTGAGAAACCATTGAGCTGGAAAATGGCAATTTTCATTTCCGTTCAGCCCTGGAGGTTTGAAGGCGGGCTGAACAGAACAGAACTCACGACAGGGGATGCAACAAAAGATGCTGGAATCAATGCGGGTAGAGGCAGGCAAACAAGGCGTAATTAAAAATCAGGCGCTACACAAGTCCAATTAGGCTTGACGTGTGATTGGTCGATTTGTGAAGTCATGTATATGTTCCATATTGTTCCACAGCATGGTGTCTTTTAAATAAAGACAGGTTGGCAAGGAGATATGAAAAGGGGCTTATTTTTGCAGGGAGAACGATAACTTTTGTAAAGCTTAAAAAAAAATGTGAGCACTTTGCTACATGTACAATATTAGTCTCAGAGATGCCACAAATCTATCAATAAAAAGCCTGAAACACTACTAAAAAAACCTGAAACTACCCTTACCCCCTTTCAAAAATGTGTTTTTTGGATGTTTCAGACCAAATCTAGCTCTTTTAATTTGTCACATTTTTGAAAGAAAAACCTGAATTCAGGTTAAAACCTGAAAAGTGGCATCTCTGTAGTCTAGAACGTTCTCGACTAATACCAGTACTAAGTAAAAAAACTACATGAACATATGACATATTGCTGTACATTGTGTATTAAAAGAAGTACATGTACCGTATATATGCTGTGAGCAACCAAGTAAATATGTAGAAGTACATGTACATGTTTTAACTGCAACTGGGCAATTTCAGAAGAATTGAAAAGTGCTATTGCAGAAGAACAAAAACATTTGACCAAGCTTTTGGCACACAAACGTACATGTTAAATTGCACACTTCTAGTATCCACAGACACTATGTACAGGCACATGTACTATCTGTAATAAATTGCAATAGACAAGTACATTGTACATGTATGTAATCATAAAAGGTACATGTAGACGACAAATTAGCATTGGGCCAGCATCAACCATAGCGCTAGCCACACACAAAAGGAAAGGGGGGGGGGGCCCTCAAAATACCAGCAATATCACAATGAAGTGATTTCCTAATGACACAGGCCAACACAATCAACCAATAAATTCAGCCATCATTTGCCTTTTGTCCGTGTTTCTCCCGTCATAATTTGAAGTAATTTGATTGCTGGGATGGGTAAAGAGAGAGAGAGAGAAAAAATAAAGGAAAAAGTGTGTGCCATGCTATAAACTAAACCCCACGGTTATACACGATCACCCAGGTTGGCTCAATTAAGTTGTTTCTGCTTGTCTGCTAAATTGCAAGACATGGTCTTGAGTCGACTGGAATCAATAGCTTTGCATGAAAGGCATCAAAATCACAAAAATAAGTCTTTGATTGGTCTAATAATCACATGACCAGTCAGTTACCAAGATGACAATGATGGGACTGCCCCCCCCCCCCCCCAACCTCCTCATTCAATCTTGGACCGGTTTAGTCAAAACTACAATCTTTTAAAGGGAATATACATCATTTGCTTTTGCTGTAATTTTCAGAAATGGATGGAATTGGGGGGTTGGAAATATATAGCAAATATAGTTACACTGACTTTTTGGAGGTTTTGGGTTCGAAAATGCTATAAAAACCAAGAAAAACGATCATTTTCCTGTAGTCTGGTTCCCTGACTCCATATAAGAAGAAACAGAACAGTTTACATACACTAGGGAATTGTAAGGTCAGGGAACCAGTCTAGCTGGCTCGTACCCGTTCATAGATTTGTAATCGATTGCAAACAAGTGCAATGGTCAATTGGGGCCAGTATTTGAAAAAAAAGCCAGTTCGGTTTCCAACGCTGATCGGCCGATCAGCGTTGGAAATTGATACAAAAATACCTCTTTTCTTGAAAATGACAGTATACCAGGTGCCATAATTTTACAGGATGCTTTAGACTGTCATTTACCAACATCCTATTAAGGTATTTCGTAAAAACTTGGTAATTTTATTTTTCGATGTTTGCAAATGTTGTATATTCCCTTTAAGATGTGTGGCAATGTTTGGTTTTATCAAGTCTATCAATAACCGACAACTTGCTGTCAATATCCACTCAAATAATGCCAAACCTTTTCACCTCCCCCCTTCCTGCCTCCAAAGCACAGCTTTTCAATACCACAATATTTAGATACAATTACCAACAAAAACCAACTGTGTTGTAGGACCCTTTCTGATACCCAATACAATCTTGCCTGGCAGGACTGGGGGGGGGGGGGGGGGGGGTTGGACTCCAAAAATCTCAAAGTCAATGTCAATTAAGTTGTACATCCTGGGTTATAACCAACTCAATACTGTTATTGTTTACGTTAAAAATTAATGGGTAAAAAAATGGAAAAGAGGGGAAATTAGATTTATATAATAAAAATAAAAGATGTGTGTATTAATGACACAGATTGCTCCCCTAAG